AAATGCGGCGATTATACTAGTTAAAAATGCAATTTTTCTAATAAAATGTACACATCACATTTCATTATTACATTCATCTTCTACGTGATTAATGAAAACCGAGCTTGGGTGACATTGAGAGTGTTGGTTGAATTGTAATCTCATCTTTATTAGATAGGACAATCGATATGTCGTCCGTGCTCTGTGGAAGGACTGGTGAAGGGTATTTACATATAATGCAAACAGAACAGGCCCCAACGCAGATCCTTGTGGAACTCCAACAACCATATTTATCCCACTGTTATGTATCCATCGAAGAAAGAGACCAAACCTAAACATATTCACGTATACTCCACGTGATCGCGCTCCAGAACGCCGAGCACGTTACAGGGCCGTACTAAGAATAAATGATTTGTGGTTTGAGACACGATCAGAAAGTATGCACATATTTTTTTTGTCTGCCCAAATGATCTCAATCCAATGGCAAGGAGGCAGTCGTATTTTGTTTTTTTGGCCATTTCATCAATTATGTTCAGGTTATATTTATTTTTATGCGTCTTGACAATTTGTAACAATTCTGCCTTAACCGTTGAATCATCACAATCAATCTTTTCATTTATAAACCATCCTTGAATTTCTAATTTCCATCTTCATTACCGCTTACCTTTTCCTAAAAATAATCATTTTGGACACTTTAACAACGCTCCCATTGAAAGCATTAAAAACCCCAACAAAATTTTTGCTTGATTTCTTATCTATATAGTTTAAGCATGCACAAAAAATAAAATATAATTTTAGTTGAAATTCCTCGTCTTACAAGTATTGAAAAATCTGTTGGTGTCAGCTTTGCAAACAATATCCTGAACACTTGAGTCACTCCTTCTTTTCATTTCGTATTTATAAGTGTTGATAATTAGTTGTTTTTCGCTAACGCTAAAATGAAGCCTTTTAGCTCTTTTTTTAGGCGGTGTGCAGCTTATATTAACAACATCATCACCTGTATCCGTATCAAACATTTTGAGTTCTACGAAATTAAATTGACAAATCTAATAAGCACACAGTAATACAATGGTTTGTCATTGGTTTGTGTAAGGGCTCTGTTTTGGTTTAGTCTATTTCTTCGATACATACATAATGGACTTGACTCGCATTAGTCGTCCTGAGCAGTTGTGAGTACTTTTCTGCTGCCTCCCGTACAGCCTAGACCTAGACCACTATCGATTGCAGAACGGCGCGCCTGCTACGATGCGGAGGCCGTCGACTTGAATCGCCAGCGCTCGCTAGATCTCCGTCATAGAATATAGTAGGTAAAAGCGAAAACTGGGACTTGTATACGCAACAACCGACACACTACGCAGAGGTGTTCGGCCAGTGGCATGGCAGTAGGCAGTGCCACCGCCGTGTTTTTTGTGTTTCCAGGTCACAGCCGTCTTTGCTTTCCGTCGCCGTCGATCGTCGAAATCGAAGGAAAAGTCAATGGCATGTCGCTCGGCGAGTCGACCTGCTAGCGCGGGGAACTGGGTTAAGATCGTTCATTTTTCTTTCGTCGCATTTTTGTAACAGGAATTTACCGAGAGTAAAAAGGAAATAGTTCAACTTACATAATATCTATGCGCCCCAGTAACTTTACGTGAAACATTTCTTTATTAGTGCTTGATCTAGATTTTTTGCAATGTTGGTAAAATAAAGATTAAAGTCAAATGCGCTAAGCGTCCTGCTTGCGTATTGGTTTTTAGTTTGTAAAATCATTCCATACTACTTTTTGTCTATTTTTAGCATTTTTAATATAACGATCATTAGCTTGCCTTTGGCTTGATTTATCGTACGTTTATATCCACACTTGTATGAATTGAGATACTCCTTATTAACAAGTTGAGGATGAGATTTGTGTAGTTCTGATAAAAATTGGTATTTCTATCTCATGCGCTGACGATTTAAGTTGAACCAAGATGATTTAAAAGTGAGACTGTTTTTGAGGATTTTTGATTAGACAACTTTGGTCATAAATAGAACAATGGAAATAAACATCATTACGCTTTTTTGAGAAAAGAAATATTCAAAATGTAATACTGTATACGAGGGCGGTTCAATAAGTACCAGTGTTAGAAATGAAGACAGCATTTTTTCCAAAAAAATTCTTTTCATTTTTCAACATAATCCCTTTTTAGAAAAATACAATTTTCCCAACGTTCCTGCCATTTTTTTTATGACTGGAATGGCTGCCAAATCCAAACTCACCTGTCAATCAGTCTGAAATTTGTTGTGCCGTCGTTTGATAGATGGCAGCACACGATGACAACATTAACTTCCCTCAGGAACGCCCTCTGTCGTCACCTCGGATTCTTATTGAACCACCCTCGTATTTTATAAAGTCTGTCATCAGAAAACCAATGGAATAGGTATTATTCTCTATGTAGACAAAATTGAATTTTTCACTGTAGAAAAGGAAACTTTACTTTTATTTTTTAAGCTTTAACGTATATGTCCGCAATTTGTAAGACAGATCTTCTCATTCCATATATATTTTTTGGAGGGCAAATATTGATATTCAGTTGAACTAAAAAATTAGTAAAATGCTCCATTAGCGAACTCTGAAAATTATTATATTCGTAAACATGAATAATTGTTCGTTTGTGGTACAGTTAAATACCATCTTTGCGAAACGCATTATTTATGTAAATTATTGTCGATCCATTTTCAGTATTGACGTTATTCAGAAAGAGAAACCTTCTCTCCTACTTTCTTAGGTAGCTCATGCTAAATTTCTCTAATTAGTACGGTTGCAATTTTTTAAAAGGAGGGACGTTATCAACTTTGTGGAAAGTTGCTTACAGTTAATCTATATTGAAAATGCGTATGCGTATATCACTCAGAAATGGCAAGTTTTCATAACACGAGGTCTATAAATTGAGTAATGAAACTAATTTTATTCATATACCGGGTGTACCTTAATGACATGCGATGGATGGATTTATTACCAGAGATATCCCGATCGTGCTTTGCCAAATAGTCGAAGCTTTTCTAATATTCATCGTCGTCTTGTTGAAACTGGTTCTGTCCGGAAAGGAACATCTGAAGGTAGAACTCTAAGTGTGAGAATACCTGAAATTGAGGAAGCAGTGCCTCACGAAGTCGAAGAACATCCTGAAACGAGTACAAGGAAGATCGCTAGACACTTAAATATTTGCTATCAAATTGTTTGTGGATTTTTTGTTATATCCTTACCATATTGTAAGAGTACAAACATTACTTCCCATTGATTTTCCAAGGCGTGTGACCTTTTGTCAGTGGTCAAAAAATTACACAAAATCCGCAATTTGAATCAATGATTTTGTACACGGACGAAGCTGATTTTTCTCGAAATGTCATTAAGAATTTCCACAATAATCATTTGTGGGCAGAAGAAAATCCCTATGCCGTAACCGAAACCCATTTTCAACACCAATTTTCGGTTAACGTATGGGCAGGAATTATTGGCAACCACTTTATTGGCCCATTCTTCTTGACGGACCGACTTACCTCAATTTTCTTCAACAACAGTTCCTTTTGCTGCTTGATGATGTTCCGTTAGTAATAAGAAACAATATGTGGTACATGCAGGATGGTGCACCAGCGCATTTCAGTGTAGCGTTTCGTAATTATTTACAAACTGTTTATCCAAATCGTTGGATTGGCCGCGGTCGGCCCCCAAGAATGGCCACCAAGGTCCCCAGACCTCAACAGTTTAGATTTCTTTTTGCGGGGCTATGTACACAAGTCCCATTAACACTGTATAGGAATTAAGAGAAAGACTAGTTGCAGCTTGTGATAGTTTATAAAGCAAACTAACATTAATTTTTCAGGTAGAATTACACCCTTAAATATTCGCGTATCATTAAGGAACACCCTGTATAATTGCAATTTTACATTGTCTATTCCTCATCCTGGTTCTCATGATAAGATAAATATAATTTTTATTTTGAAACGTTATGTTTCCTGAATAATCTAGCCGTAAAGATAAATCCTCTCCGACTTAAATCCGTTATTTCTTCTTCGTGAGTTATATTTTCCACTTGAAAAGTTTTTGAATTTTAAAGGAGTATGCCACGCGCCTAAAGATTTCAGTCGCTTGACTCAGTATCAAGGGGGAAAGTTTTTGTTGTTTAATACACGTGTCGGCTAAAGAAAAATTAATCGAAAGCAGACGCTTGGTTCTTCAGTGCTATCGTGATACGCAATAGACGGGCCTAGTAGTTAGAATGTGTAGCTAAAAAAAATTTGGTTTCAATAGTACTCCACCGCGCAAAAAAATTGTTTTTCTGGTGTACCACAGGGATCTGTCTTGGGGCCACTGTTATTTTCATTATATATCTCAGATTTAGAAAATCGTTCAGCATACAATACGATACTCAGATTTTGTATTCATTTAGGGGTAATGACTTGAAAGCAGCGAATAAAATCATTAGTCAAGATCGCGCCCAAATTGAAAAGCTTAGAATTAGTCATAATCTTAATTTGAACTCTTTAAAAAAATATGTTGATAGACTCAAATAAAACGAAAAGGAATGCTTTAAAAAATCGAAAGGTAATAAGTTCCTGTGGATCATCCGCAGAACCTTGGTATTATAATGAATGATGGTTTAAAATTTTTGATTTTCAAATAAGGCCATATTACATAAATCTTTATTGTTTTCAAAAATATCGTATTGCTCAGTGGTTTACTATCCCTATTTAGATATTATAACAAAAAATCATAATCAAAGTATTATGAATACATTTCATGTTGCAGACTTGAAAATGATCATATATCGATATGACATCAACTGGATGAAAATTGATAAAACGTATAAATATTAGCTCGAGTCCGATTCATAGGGTTCTTTATTCAAAAACACATCACATCTCTATTTCAGGACACATATTTACAATGCAATCGAATTATATAATTCCTTAGACCGTAGTAACTAATGTATTACCCAAATTCAAGAAAGAGTTGAAAGAAATGCTACTTGTTCAGTTGCGAAATGTTTTGTAACCAATAAGTGTTAACTGACCTTGAGTTTTCTCATTATTTATGCTTCACTATCGTCGTTGTTGTATACAGGTATTAATTTTTTATATATCTCGTATTGTTAAGGAGATTTGGTGGTAGAAAAGATAAATTATCTCAATCTAGCCTCCTGTAATGTTATTACAAATAAAAACGTCGATAATTATTACTATTATCATTGGGTCATCTCGGGTCTCTTCCTGGTACATGGCGAGGTACCGACTTGGACCAAGCATCCTCGTCTAATCTTGGCTTAATATTGTGGTGTTCAACATTACTTTTTGTAGTAGCTTGAAAACGTGTTGATACAATCCCAAATTATTGATGCATTTATGGAGATATTTTGGTCAGTTAGATCCCACATTTTTTAATTTCGTCTACTAGTCCAGCATATTTACGTTTCTTTATTATTATTATTTTGATCTCTCACCAAAAGACGTCATAGCTCTTAGAAGCTTTGATTTTATACACAATGAATGAAGAAACGCGTAACAAACGAATACGAAATAGGCGAACGGCCCTCTCGATGTAGACAGACACTAAATTCGTGCCAGTCAGAAAAGTCAAGGTCAATCGGGCTCGGTGCTCCCGGATATTTCTTTCTACTTTGAAACCTCGCTTCGGACTCCGAGAAAAAACAAAGCATCGTTTCGGTCATATACAGGGTTAGAAAAAATTGAATTCGTCGCCCGACCGATCCGCATCAAATTATGATCGCGTCATGATATGATAAGGTCATAAGGTGTACTGTGTGATAGTGACGTGCTTTCGGTGAACTATTTCAATAGGTCGAGTTCACTAGAAGGAACTAGTTCTAGGAACGTATTTGGATGGGTAACAAATCTAAATACTCGTAAGCTGTCTCTCACATAGTTTCTGTAATAATAATAATAATTTATTGGTGCTATCACATAAAAATGTGTTTGCACAGGTCAGTTGGAGTAGAACATAAACAAGTAAGTAAAAACAACAAACAATACGTAAAATAAGACAAACAAAACACAAAGTAGCAAAAAAAAAACGTAGTAAAAATTTAGATGAACAATAAGTAGAGATGGTTTACAAATTATAAAATAATAATAATAATAATAACACTGATCAACGGCCAAAAAATATCCTAAATAAAATCAACAAAATATTACTATTTTTAATGTGCTAAAACCGGAATGAGACTTATTTTTTCAATATTAGTTCAAGTTTTAGAGATACGGTAATTATATGTGTTCCTGCTGTGACAGTGTTGATATACTGTAATTCACAAGAATGCACGTGCTACATTTTTATATTCGGCAAGGAAAGATGATGTAATCGGCATGATTGTGTTACGTTATACATACGTGTACATTATATTGTTTTATATTAGCCATTTTTTCCTCAGTTGGCTGACAGCGTTCATGCAAGATGACTCGAAAGTGTGTAAACAATCCAGATCAGTTTTGTTACGTGTGTGGTGATGTGACTTTTGCGTCTCAGAGACGGTCTATTACTCCACTAATAACAAAGGCATTTCAGCTTTATTTCTGTTGTAAACTAGGTGATCAAGACAAACAGTGGGCACCCCATATCTGCTGTAATACATGTGCTTCAAGTCTGAGGAGCTGGTTAAATGGCAAAAAACGGTCTATGCGCTTTGCTGTCCCAATGGTTTGGAGAGAGCCTACAAATCATATTAATGATTGTTACTTTTGCATGGTACCTTGTGTTGGACAAGCCACAGGTATGTCCAAGAAAAAAAAATCGGTTATTAACTACCCAAACATACCATCTGCGATGAGACCTGTGCCTCACAGTGACGAAAATCCTATTCCAAAACCCCCAGAATCCTACACTTGCGAATCAGAAAACGAATCAGATCATGGCGATCGAGTGATTCGTCAGGAAGAAGATATGCCATCAACGTCAAGAGATCCTGATTTTATACCGAGCACGTCATGCCACCAAGCGCACAAAATAACACAGTCGGAATTAAATGATCTTGTAAGAGATTTAGAACTTCCAAAATGTAAGGCAGAGTTACTTTTATCAAGACTGCAGCAGTGGAACTTGTTAGAAGACGATGTTTCGGTATGTGTTTTTCGTAAACGCCACCAAGACTTAGAACCATTTTTCAATATGCAGAATAACTTGGTTTTCTGCAGTAACATTAACGGCTTACTGGCGGCTTTAAATATAAACTATAACCCAGAAGAATGGAGATTGTTTATAGACAGTTCAACATTGAGTTTAAAGGCAGTGTTATTGCATATTGGAAATATTTTACCATCTCTTCCTGTAGGGTATGCAGTTCACATGAAAGAATCATATGACAATATGAAGTACCTATTGACATGCATAAAATACGATGAGCACCAATGGCATATTTGTGGCGATTTGAAAGTTGTTGCACTTTTACTTGGGCTGCAGCTAGGCTACACAAAGTTTTGCTGTTTTTTGTGTGAATGGGACAATCGGGCAAAGGCACTTCATTACACCAGACAAAACTGGCCAGTTCGTCAATTCCTAGAGCCAGGTCAAAAAAATGTACAGCATATGCCATTAGTAGATTCGAAAAAAATTTTATTACCACCACTGCATATCAAGTTGGGCCTAATGAAAAACTTTGTCAAGGCATTAGATAGAGATGGGTCAGCTTTTCAATACCTGCGTCAGAAATTTCCAAGACTAAGTGAGGCAAAGGTTAAAGAAGGTATTTTTGTTGGGCCACAGATTCAAAATATTTTGAAAGATACACAGTTTGAAAACACTTTAACAGGTATTGAAAAAACAGCTTGGAATGATTTCCGTCTGGTGGTCACTAATTTCTTGGGAAATAGAAAAGCTGACAACTATAAAACCCTTGTCAAAAATATGCTGTCATCATATCAAAAGATGGGCTGTAATATGTCTTTCAAGATACATTTCCTACACTCACACCTGGACTTTTTTCCTAACAATTGCGGAGCCGTAAGTGATGAGCACGGCGAACGTTTTCATCAGGATATTTCAACAATGGAAAAAAGGTATCAGGGAAAGTGGAATCCTTCCATGCTTGCAGACTACTGTTGGAGTCTTGGTAGAGATGCTCCAGAAACGATCCATAAAAGAACAGCAAAAAGACAGCGCATATAGTGATTCTTATAAGTATATGAATATACTTTTTTTAATATATCCTTAAAAATAAAAAGTTTTTTTTCTAAACCGCAACTAATTTTTTTATTTCATTGTCATTTTTGGATTCAGCGCCCCAAAATTAACAAAGAAGTGCACTTGTCCCACAAGATACAATTAAAAAACTAAAATTTGTTGTCCAGTGTAATTTATTCATGTTTGTACACCAAAGTGCTTACACACGTCTGGAGAACAATAAAATTTAATACAAAAATAACATATACACAAAAAAAAACAAATGAAAACAAACACTAAGTAATGAAACAAATAGTCAACAATTATGGAACAAAGTCAGAAAAAAAGGTATTTAAAAACTCATCGCATAGTCATTAAGAAGATTTTTAATAAATAATACATATCTTCCATTAGGGTTGGCAGATATTTCTTTCATCTTTTGTAACTAACAGTATTCGTTATTACCTTTTTGATATCTTCGTTTTGTCTTGTTCAGTATCCTTGAACGGAACCACGATTGTATCCAAGCAACCAGTTATACAACTATCGCTTGGAGATCGTGTCCTGTCTGGTTTCTCGGGGAATGATGAACTAGTTCAGTTAGTTCACTTGTAAGAATCGTTCGTTTGATCCACATCATCATCACTAGCTGTAAACGGCTCTTTATAGGAATTCAGTACATATTGATAACTATTAAGCTTGAATCGGAAACTTCATAAGTGACCCTCGTAAAAATAAAAGTCGATTTCCAGAGCCTAAAATTAATCATCAAACGATTGCCATTGGTGCAAAAGCAAAACGATTTCGTAAATGAAATGGGCAAGGCCACCTCTCTGATTAATAGAGGTTCAATATACGCAGTCTGTGGTGGCCTTTAGCCTTTGGATATTACTTCCGCAATATTTTCATTAGGGAGTCAGACGCGTGCAGAGGACAGCCAATTTAATATTTCTTTCTAACATTTAATTACTTTCTTACACGGCGGTCCACGATTTCGTGGAAAAAGTTCAGGATGGCAGTTCCCGATTTAAGAGCAAGCAGCGTTTGAACAAGTTTGATTCTAACAAAAACAAATTTATTACTCAACAGGTTCTCGACTTAGTTGGTTGCCGATAGAAGGCGCTGTTAATTAGTCGCCAGATGGCGCTCGCGACAGCAGCAGTTTTCTAATTTCGAAAGCGTGAGAAGTTCGCCTTTTACGACCGCCTATTTTTTGTTACAGGTCGAGAAGATCTGTCGCCCCCGAGCAGTCTGAACGGTTACAGTGCGGACAGCTGCGATGGGAAGAAGAAGAAAGGGCCCGCCACCAGGCAACAGGAAGAATTGTGTCTGGTGTGTGGCGATAGAGCCTCGGGATACCACTATAATGCTCTTACGTGCGAAGGTTGTAAAGGTAAGTATGGTCTTGGACAGTCGGACTCGAATACAATCGTTCACACCGAAAAGACGGCAAACCAGTCGCTCAACGGTTGATGCCATTGCAAGTAATTGTCAATTTCATCTGTGTATGTCATGGTGACATTTCAGCTAAGAGTCCGTTCGCATCGTCAAAAACTGATTGATAAATCGGATGAAAGCATTTTTTCATCGTATTTTTGTGTCGTTTGAGACGTTTTGTAAGTATTCTGTAAATTCGGGAGTGGTTATTAAAAAATTGCAACATTTCCAATTTGTTTTAATGTTATTTGTATATTTTATTTGCGGACATTTTTTTTGCATATCAAAACATTCTTGAAAGAGCCAAAGCGATAAAAAATCGGGTTTTATTTTTTTCATTTCTTAATCATTTTAATGCTTTGGCGAAAACTTATTTATACTTTCAATAACTTTAGAAACTATTATTCGTTTTAAGCGGACTAAACAAATTTTGACGTTTTTTGAATGCATATCGTTTTCGGTTTAACGTTTATAGTCGACAGATTCTTTTTGTCTTTAGTTCGTTTTGGTGTCTTGAAACAAGTATTAACGTTTTATAGTTGGAAAAATCTGATAATGACGTTCTTCAAAAAATCCAAAATTTTGAAAAAACATTTTTTTTTAGGTTTTTTCCGACGTAGCATCACGAAAAACGCCGTCTACCAATGCAAGTACGGCAACAATTGCGAGATCGACATGTACATGCGACGCAAATGCCAAGAGTGTCGGTTGAAAAAATGTCTGACAGTCGGGATGCGACCCGAATGCGTCGTGCCGGAAGTCCAGTGCGCCGTGAAACGGAAAGAGAAGAAAATGCAGAAGGAGAGAGACAGGCCGAACAGTACGACGGGAGGAGGTGGTACCTCGCCGGAAACGATAAAATTAGAACCGGAGGTAAGAAATTTGATTATGGTTCACTTTAGATAATCAAGTGGGAAGCCTGGTTTATTGTTCAAATTTAAGATCGAATATTTTCTTCATTCAAGTTTGGTGTAGTATATGGCTAGCTTCAGTCAGTTATTGTAGTGCGTGGTCTCCTTTACATACAATACTCAAAATTATACACGAAGCTGGGAGGTTTCTTCGAATTATGTAGTGTATGCTTGGCTTTATTTCCTATATTGAAGTGGATGGTTGCCCTTATATGGTTCACTTTAGATAATCAAGTGGGAAGCCTGATTTATTGTTCAAATTTAAGATCGAATCTTTTCTTCAGTCAAGATTGGTGTAGTATATGGCTAGCTTCAGTCAGTTATTGTAGTGCGTGGTCTCCTTTACATACAATACTCAAAATTATACACGAAGCTGGGAGGTTTCTTCGAATTATGTAGTGTATGCTTGGCTTTATTTCCTACATTGAAGTGGATGGTCGCCCTTATATAAAGCTATCAAAATGGGTATTCAACTGGAATTTTCGTTGATATTGGTAGTGTATGATGGGCTTTATTTCGTTATTCCGGTTTTCTTATCGAGATCACATTATTTTTACAGGTTTTTTAATTTTGGATATATTCATTTCACGTCATATATAAAGGAGCCCGCACACTTCAACGTACGACTAAAGTGGGCCATATACTAGATCTTTCATGTATTCTATATAATGATATTTTATTGTTTATCCTTTTTATGTTGACATTCGTGTGGTGTCAACATTGTTTTTTAACGAAAACTTCTACGTATGTTTCTACACGTAGACGCTGTTCTTCCAGCTGTCCGATTCGGAGAAAATGGTGTCGCCGAACGGCGTCAAGCCCATCTCACCCGAGCAAGAGGAGCTCATACATCGGCTCGTCTATTTCCAGAACGAGTACGAGCACCCATCCGAAGATGACGTCAAACGGATCATTGTAAGTAGTGTAGATAATTTAATCAACAATTTACTGACTAGAATGTAACAAAGCTGTGGAATAGCTTCCACATTTTGCAACACTCAATCCACAAGCTATCAAATCTGACAGCGATGTGAAAACTTATCTCTTGGCTGATGCTGTTTAACATTAAGGCGATGTTTTTGCAATTTTTCACGCAATTTGAAAAGGTCACCGAGGTGGCCGAAACGTTAGAAAATCCTGATTGTATATAGTTTTACTTGGAGACCAGTGAATCATAGAGATTCACCACCGATACAACCACACTATAATTTTCGGGTGCTATGTGTAAACAATTTTTTGTATTATGTCATAATTTTTCAAATATTTTTCGTTGTTTTCAGAACCAACCTATGGAAGGTGAAGACCAGTGCGATATCAGATTTAGGCATATTACTGAAATCACCATTCTGACTGTGCAGTTGATTGTGGAGTTTGCTAAGCGGTTACCAGGCTTCGATAAGCTGTTGAGGGAGGACCAAATCGCATTATTAAAGGTAAATATTGCCATTCTATCGATTTACCAACTAAGCTTTATTATATTATTATATACTCGTGTATATATAGTTGTGGTTAGATGTCGCCTTGAAAATTCGAGGTCTTCTAGCCATTTTATACTACGATGTGTAGGTTGGCTCTTGTTGTGGACTTCGTGTGTCTTTTTTTCCTCTCCATCTTCGTTTCCTCAGGTTACACCCGTATCCGGATGTGTGGGCATGTGTATCTACTTTTGAAGTTGCATATGTCCATTCATTTCGGGCCTGATGAAGCCAACCAGCAGAAATACGTATCGCTCGGGTTATCTATCCTATTTTCTGCTCGAATCCACTTTCCTTCTTTTTCCAGATTTTGCCCATTATTTTCCTATTTTTTTGTTATGTTCCTTTCTCCGCATGATCATTTTCTCTTTTTTTATATATATATATATATATAGGTGAAAAATTAAAGCTTCCGCCTTTTGTTGGGTACTTCGACAAAATTTAAGCAAAGAGGACTCGTTATACTTTTTTTAATTCTCTCTAGCTTTCAATGGACTTTGCCATCATCATCAGGAGCTGCAATTACAATGATAACAGTAGCAACAAAAGTGTAAAATGAATTTAAATTGAATCAACTTACAGTAGTATGTGAGGATGTTGCTAATTGTTGTTTTCGTATAGGATGAGGGAAACGTCCAGTAACATGGTGAGAGCTGGATACATGGTACAATGGTTAAAATTATATAAAATATGACAAGACAAGTTAAAGACAGATTAAAAATTATTTAGAAAACATTAGAGCATTACGTCGTGAAGCCACTTGATGATTGCACAAAATGGTGGTCATGGAATAATGAGTGAGGTCCCAGGAACCTTCGGCCTTCTGTCAAAGGTTCATCTCACTCATTATTCCATGACCACCATTTTGTGCAATCATCAAGTGGCTTCACGACGTAATGCTCTAATGTTTTCTAAATAATTTTTAATCTGTCTTTAACTTGTCATATTTTATATAATTTTAACCATTGTACCATGTATCCAACTCTCACCATGTTACTGGACGTTTCCCTCATCCTATACGAAAACAACAATTAGCAACATCCACACATACTACTGTAAGTTGATTCAATTTAAATTCATTTTACACTTTTGTTGCTACTGTTATCATTGTAATTGCAGCTCCTGATGATGATGGCAAAGTCCATTGAAAGCTAGAGAGAATTAAAAAAGTATAAAGAGTCCTCTTTGCTTACATTTTGTCGAAGTACCCAACAAAAGGCGGAAGCTTTAATTTTTCACCTATATATATATATATATACTTTTTTTTTGTTTGCAGGCGTGTTCTAGCGAAGTGATGATGTTCCGTATGGCGCGTAGGTACGACGTGAACTCCGACAGTATCCTTTTCGTCAACAACCAGCCGTACTCGAGAGACAGCTACAATTTGGCAGGAATGGGCGACACGATTGATGATCTGCTTCATTTTTGTCGGACCATGTACAGCATGAAGGTCGATAACGCGGAATACGCCTTGCTCACGGCGATCGTCATCTTCTCAGGTAACTCTTCATTTTGCCTTCTTGCTGTCAAACGCGAAATTCTTGTTTGTTTCTTGCGGGAGATAAGAAGTCAAACTTTCTTTTTCAGAACGACCCGCGTTGATAGAAGGCTGGAAAGTGGAGAAGATCCAAGAGATCTACCTGGAAGCGCTGCGCGCGTACGTCGACAACCGACGGAAACCGAAACCGGGAACGGTGTTCGCGAAACTGCTCAGCGTCCTCACCGAATTGCGGACGCTCGGCAACCAGAACAGCGAAATGTGCTTCAGCTTGAAGCTGAAAAACAAAAAGCTGCCGCCGTTCCTAGCTGAAATCTGGGACGTGGACGTCAAGACATAGTAGGCCGAGGAAACAGTCGAGTGTTAATGAGCGTGACGCGCGCGGAGGCGTGGCGAAGTTCGACCACGCCCATTTAAGGAGGAGCTTCGAGGTTAGGGCGGAGCTCGGAATCGTGCGGAGGAGGTACAGTGCGTTGAATGGGGTGTTAGAGGTGGAATCATAACCTTAGACGGAATTTAGGGTTATTCTAGTGAATTCGTTATTGAGATCAAAAAGTATACAGGCTAAAGTTATGTATGGGATGGCACATGAAGGATAAAGTGCAGTTCCATACATAGCCTTATTCTGTGAACATCCATAATTGTCTCGAAATAGAGTAAGAATGATTTGTTTTCTTTCAGTTAAGAAATTATTTTTTTCTTTGTCCGGATATGGAATATTTTTTACCTCGTCCAGATTCCGAGAATGCCCTAGAGCTACGCCGATGCGCGCAAGGCGGTGGTGTCACGTGATCTTTGGGAACGCTGAAAGGACGTTATGTATCGCGAACCACCGAAGTTTGGCTGTGAATTTAATTTTTTTAAGTACGTTTCTTTAGGTTTTAAAAACTAACTCGACGGCACCTATAGTATATATCTGTCAACGGTCACTGAAAATTGAAATTGTCACTCGAAAAATTTCTAAATTGGGTTGAGTGGCGTTTTTGGTAAAACTATGGGAAATGCGGGATATAAAACTGATATTTATTTCAAATGTATAATTTTTACACCGAATTGTTATTGTTGGATATATTTGTTGCAATTTTTCTTTATGTTTTTATATTTTCCGTGTGTAGCATATTTTTTTGATCAATTGAAAATGTACCAAAAGCGCCGCAAAACAAATTGTTTTCGAGTTTCGATTCAAACCTTACCGTTGGCATAATAAAGATTGATAAAAGTGACCCGCTTATTTTTAAATAGTGAATTGTTGTTATGAGATAGTAGTGGCTGTATCGTTTTTTTCTAATATCTTTTTATTCCCTCTCTTTTTTACATAGTAGCTGTAGAAACTGTGGCAAATGTCGAAACTAATATTGCGAAAAATTGCGTCTTAAAAAATTATTTGAACCATCAAACAAAAAATAAACTAAATATCAGCCGGAAGGTTAAAATAATATTTTTCAAAAAATATGCTTTGGCTCTGTAAAATTTTGTGATGATGTTTTTCGAAATCCTAGTTTCGACCGTTCACAATTTCTCGATCTCTGAGATTTTCAGAAGTAACGCATAGATTTATCTTTTTTTTTATAATTATCTACTGTATTCCTTTTTTTATTTCGTATTTTGAGACTCGCTTGTATACTTAATTTTTAAGACTGGACAGGACTGACACATTTAAAAATTCAAAGGTGCCTTCACACGAAATACAAAAAAAAAATAAACGAGGATCACACATAGTCTGAGAAGGTGCAAAGGATGATATGAAAAAATGGCGAACAAAAATCGGTGGAAATGGATTGAAATGATTTATAGCAAAAATGATGTTTTTTGTTGTTGGAATGTATCTTAAATCGTTAATGGCTAAACATATTTTGCAGGTATTTTAAGAACTTTTTTTTGATCCAAAAAAACCATCAAAAATATCTGGAGCTTAAAAAGAACCCTTTGTAATTTGTTAAGAATACTCATATTTATTTAAAGAGGAATCCAACAAAAGTGATTATGAAAATTTTTTTTTCGTTTTCTTTTCCACCATTTTTGTCCTAGGAAAATTGGGAACAGACTCAACAGGGATCGCAGCAAAAAAAAGTGCAATTTTTTAGTTCGTGTACGATAAATTTTTTACAGAGCAAGGTTACGGTTCGATTATGCTTCGTATGAAAAAAAAAATGTAGGAAAATGGCAGAAATCCAAAAAATGTAGCCGTCCGCAGGTCAAGTGAAGAAAAGTGATGGTAATTTTGATCCAAAACAGTGCTTGTATGATATCTCGCAAATAATATTTTTTCCACTCACGCACGGCGCGCATACGAGGCGCGTCCCAAAAGTACCCATACTGCTCAAAATGTCCCGACTAAATTTTTCAACTTTTTACAGTTGATCGCACAGAAAGTTCCAAATCATGTACCGTTCTTTTCAATTCTCTGAAAACTAACCGAAGCTGAAATTCTCCAGACTGGGAACTTTTGGACCGCACCTTGTACGTCAAAAATCGTGCTATCGAGCAAACATACGTATTAAAAATCTCCCTAAGGACTATCCTGCCTTTAAGAAAAAACTATCGATGTTTAACCTTTTCAATGTGTAGTTTGTAGAGATCGTTCATTTTTTATACGGTATAGTTTGCCATTATCTTTCAGCTAGATATATAACACCCGGCTCAACTGGTTTGCTAGAATCCGGAATGATCAATCAAAGAAATGTCAGAACAATACGCGTTTTCGATGTTTCCCCACTTTAGGGAATTTTCGAAGATGTGGCAAAGCGACGTTGTCATAATTTTCCCTAAGTCGGGGAAATTTCTTGAAATTTGTCATGCAGCCCATAAGTTTACAATTTTAATGATTTTTCATCGATTTCTGAGTGCACAGTTGCCTTAAAATGAAGTTGTTTCGGATATTAGTGGCTAGTTAGTCAAAATGTACCTAAGAGCATAAAAAATACATACATGATATATACCATTTTTTGAGGTAGATTTTTGACGAAAGAAAAGGTACACAAGAACGCTCAAAATCACAAGAAAACAGGGAAATATAGAGGCAGATTTTTAGGTAGATCTTTTGTTGAAATTCTACCGAAAAAAAGACTATACATATTTTTCATCGTTGTATATAAAGCATATTTTCATAAGACGAGACAGATGTATTTTTTTCCAGACGCATGTTACAGAATCGTTTTTGCGCCATCTAAATGCCTTAAATGCAATAACTCCGCCATTTTCCAAATATAAATCCCACTTCTGATGTTACACGATAACGAAATTTAATTTATAAAACTAGCAGTTTTTGGGTAGATATTTTTAGTTGCATTTATAAAAGTCAAAGATTTGTTTGGGATTTTTTTAGGAACTCAAAAAAACTTAGTTTTTGATGGAGGGTTTTATTTTGAAAATGGTGATGTAGGATTACGAAACACATATTTGTTTACTCAGGAGTCAACCCAAATACCTTCTTTCATCAGGTAAAGTGAAGGAATGTAAAAGTAAAACGCAAAGAAGAAATATATCGGCAATATTATAAATGTTATATAGTAGGACTGTTGCCAGCTGTTACAAATTGAGAAAAAGTTTTTCGAGATTGTGATTCTAATACTTCAAATGGCCTTTTGATGTAGAATGTTGTTTGTACATTGAAGAAAAAAGTAAACTATAGTTTGTTCTGATGCAGAGGAAAAAAGAGTAACAGATTTTATATTATATATAACTCTATGGCCAAGCGTATACGGACGTTAACAATCTTGGTAAATAAACGTATAAATGTTGCTTTCATTATGGGTAATTCTTTTACAGGTACTTTTTTCAAAAGTATAAAAATCGAAGATGTTTATACGGAAACCAGAGTAAGCTTTTGGTGCACGAAATCCGAATCCGTCGTCCAATCTATTAATTGCGTCTAGTTTCTGAGATTTTCTGACCTAAATGTGCAAAAATAGCAAGTTTTGCATATATTTGAGGTTGTGTAGCATGTCGAATTATTTTTGTTTCAAAAAACCATGAATCACATCTTCTAGTACAACCTTTGTCCTTTCAATTGCCGTTGACTTTGCTTGAATATCTTTTTATTTTGCCGAGATAATGGCACTTTAAAATTTTCTCATCTACATCGGTTTAGAAAAAGTATTTTTTTAAGTGTAATCGGAAATACGATCATTGGATCGACCTTGAGAAAGTAGGATATGTTGGCCTTTGGTTCGTGTATCTTTTAGATATGTTATGGACTTAGTGTTGAGGGTTCATGGATTTTTCAGTTGGCATTTTATAAAAATATATTTTTACTAAGTTTATGGTGTATTATAAACCAAACCACAAATTTGATGTACGCGTAATCATAACGTGTACAGTATTAAGTATGTATAGTGAAATTCAGAAAAATGCAAGGGCAAGCCGTGTACTTTGAGTTGAGGCCTATGGTTTTTTGGAGAAACAATAATTCGTCATGCTACATAACCTCAAATATAGGCAAAACTCACTTTTTTTGCACCTTTAGGTTAGGATATCTCGGACACCAGAGCCAATAGATAAATTTAGACTTCGGATTCGGTGCATCAAAAACCTGGAAAGTATGGTTTACAACTATTCTAAAAACTTTCTATGAATTTTATTGTTTGCAGTTTTTCATAGCGTCCGTACCGGAGCACTGTTCCTCGATAAGGTGCGTCACTATTTTCGAAAAATACGTAGATTCCGTTCAAATCCCGGAACATGTGCATTGGCCTTGAAGCTCTATATTCACACTTGTACAAATGTTGATGGTACAAAACGCTTCAGGTTGACAAAACAAATGTAAACTTGTAAAAAAAAATACTCGGTTGACTCCTTTTCACTGCCAGCAGTGACTCTGTCTCTCTGTCTGTCATGATCTTTGTAGTGATTCCATTCTGTGTAAATCTCACTAACAACAGTACATCTGTGGACAGTTGCCTTTAGATTTTCGATTTTTTATCGTTGGTACCCCAGAATTTCGTTAGCAATTTATACGCAAAAAATAGCAGGTTTCAATTAAAAATAGATAAAAATCAAGGGTTCTTACAATACGAGCTACGATTAGAAAATACGGTTTTTGTTACGAACAGATTATTCAGCTTGCATCAAATTTACATTAATCTCATTCGAAGTACTCCCGGATGTGTATATCAAAAATGGGTGCTGTTGCGTCTTCCGATTTCACTGTTTTTTCTCCTAAAACTTTTAGGGGGTAGTTTGATAGATTATTTAGAAACAAAAAAAGTATGTATGAAGCACGCTTTTCATGAAAAAATTTTCCCAAAACACTATTTTTTAGCAGTTATTTCCACCGCCATCTAGCATATAACCTGACGTCTGTGGATATGTCATATGTGAGAGGCGCTTGCCTGCGGTGTTGCCGGATTGGACTCCGTATTTAGGGAAAAATATGAAAAGTTTATATTTATTTATTTATTTATATGCATATTGTATATTAATTAAGGAATCACAAAAACGAAAAACTGAAACAAACAACAGTAGCAAAGTGAAAGGCGATTCCTAATAAGTATAAATCAAAAAATAACAGTAGTAAGCTAAAAAATGATAAATTATAAATAATTATAAAAAACAAAAAATAAAAAAAGTAGTGAAACAAAAATTAATTCCATGTAATTATAAAAATCAAAAAATAACACTCAGCAGTAAAATAAAAAGTAGTAAAACAAAAAAAACAATTCCATGTTGAATAAAAAGCAATTCTAAGTGACAACACAAACAAAAAGTAAAAACAGTAGTAAAACGAAGAACAATTTAATCCATCCAAATTGCTTTTTATTTTACTGCTGTCTGTTATTTTTTGTTTTATACTTAGTAAGAATCAGAATTTTACTACTGTTGTTTGTTTCAGTTTTTTGTTTTTGTGTTTCATTAATATAAATGTATATAAATTTTCCACTTTTCATATTTTTCCCTAAATACGGAGCCCAATCCAGCAACACCGCAGGCTAGCGCCTCTCATGTATGACATATCCACAGACGTCAGCGTCATATGGTAGATGGCGGTGGAAATAACTACTAAAAAATAGTGTTTTGGGAAAATAGTTTCAAGTGTACAAATGATATTCTTCTCATTTTTGAATATTTTGAAGATCCTTGAAAATATTGAAGATTTTTAAGGTTTTGAGAATTTTTCAAGTTTTATCAATTTTAAGAATTTTGAAAATACAGATTATTAAAATTTTTGAATTTCCTGAAAATTTGAATATTTCGGAAGTTTTAGAAATTTTGAACGTTTTGAAAGCGTTGCATAGATAAAAATCAAGGGTTCTCACAATACGAGCTACGATTAGAAAATACGGTTTTTATTACGAGCAGATTATTCAGCTTGCATCAAATTCAAATTGATCTCATTCAAAGTACTCCCGGATGTGTATATCAAAAATGGGTGCTGTTGCGTCTTGTAGAACTTCCGATTTCTCTCTTTTTTCTCTTAAAACTTTTAGAGAGTAGTGTGATAGATCATTTAGAAACAAAAAAAAGTGTGTATGAAGCACGCTTTTCATGAAAAAAATTTCCCAAAACACTATTTTTTAGCAGTTATTTCCACCGCCATCTACCATATGACGCTGACGTCTGTGGATATGTCATATGTGAGAGGCGCTTGCCTGCGGTGTTGCCGGATTGGGCTCCGTATTTAGGGAAAAATATGAAAAGTTGAAAATTTATATGCATATTGTATATTAATTAAGGAATCACAAAAACGAAAAACTGAAACAAACAACAGTAGCAAAGTGAAAGGCGATTCCTAATAAGTATAAATCAAAAAATAACAGTAGTAAGCTAAAAAATGATAAATTATAAATAATTATAAAAAACAAAAAATAAAAAAAGTAGTGAAACAAAAATTAATTCCATGTAATTATAAAAATCAAAAAATAACAAACAGCAGTAAAATAAAAAGTAGTAAAACAAAAAAAACAATTCCATGTTGAATAAAAAACAATTCTAAGTGACAACACAAACAAAAAGTAAAAACAGTAGTAAAACGAAGAACAATTTAATCCATCCAAATTTTTATTTTACTGCTGTCTGTTATTTTTTGTTTTATACTTAGTAAGAATCACTTTTAATTTTACTACTCTTGTTTGTTTCAGTTTTTTGTTTTTGTGTTTCATTAATATAAATGTATATAAATTTTCCACTTTTCATATTATTCGCTAAATACGGAGCCGAATCCGGCAACACCGCAGGCTAGCGCCTCTCATGTATATCCACAGACGTCAGCGTCATATGGTAGATGGCGGTGGAAATAACTGCTAAAAAATAGTGTTTTGGGAAAAAAGTTTCAAGTGTACAAATGATGTTTTTCTCATTTTTGAATATTTTGAAGATCCTTGAAAAGATTTTTAAGGTTTTATCAATTTTAAGAATTTTGAAAATACAGATTATTAAAATTTTTGAATTTCCTGAAAATTTGAATATTTCGGAAGTTTTAGAAATTTTGAACGTTTTGAAAACGTTGCATGCTTTGAAGAATTTTGAAAACACATTGAAAGTTTTGAATATTTCGCAGCTTATTAAGGTTTTGAACGTAGTGAAAATTTTGAAAATTTTAAAGCTTCTGGGGCTTTCAAGAATTGCATATTATGCAGATTTTTTGTAATTATTAAATTACCAAATAGAAACTATGAATTTTCAGCATAAACAACAGGCCTCGATTTTGAAAACTGAAAATCTTGATGCTTCGAAAATTCTGAAATATTTAAAAATTTGTAAAACTTTGGAAATGATGAAAATTTGGACAATTTTTTAAATCTTGATCACACCTCATGTGCCATCTACCAATCAAATTTTTATTTTAAAGCAAACCGAACTTTTTTCATTTGAATTGCTTGATGAAATAAAGTTTTCAAAGAAACAAAATCATGTTTTGGGGTACCTAAACGATATAGATACAAAAAAAGGTTGTATATTAAGGTATTCGTCCACCGACGTGCCAGAAAGTCCATGCAGTCTAACAAAAAAAACCAGAGACTTTTTCATGGTGCGAAACACGAATAGCAACCGTACAACAGGCTGAACAATTTTGTGAAAAAAGTCTTTGCACAAATTCTTAGGGCTGATATGGTAACGCGCTAAAGACTTCTAATAAAATCTCTATGTCACTGCCGATAATTTTGGACTGCCATCAAGTTTAAATGTAGTTTTTCTCGTAAATGTATGTCGTATTATATGTATTAACCGTCTAAAGGACTGCATGGACTGACGCAGTCTCTTAACCGAAAGTTTGGTACGATATTTGGATGCAAGCAAGGTTCGATTTTTTCTAATGCTGAAACGGGTCGAAAATGAAATATTATTTTTGATGTTATCTCACGAAAAATTTCGTGTTTTGATGTTTCAGATGCTCTTGATCATTTCCAAATTGACATTTTTTACTCGAGCGAAATTTTTGTTTGCTGATTGAATTGTTACTGTAGTGGAAACATATATAAATTTGTCTGCTCCAAATGAAGTATCCACGCTTTTGGCGTTGACTGCACATCACTCATCACTCACGTATAAGGATCATAATATTAAATCGTAAGAATTAAGAAAATAATTCACAAGGACTGTAACGTTGTAATCTATGTATCCGTTATAAGATTTTTCTTGTTCTTCATAGAACGTGTTTTTATATTATACGATACCTGCTAACGAAAATACGAATAACGTTGAGTAGGCGAGGCGAACATCTCGCGTTTGTGGAAGAAATTTTCCAACTCGTTTTTTTTTTTTTATTGTATATTGCGTTGGTTGGTTGCAATTTAACATGAATCAAGAGGTAGAAACCCAGCGTTTAAGCACTTCTTAAACAAACTACATTTTTTGTTTAAGAATCATTCTGAACAAAGAAGTTTTTGATCAACAAGCGATAGGATTATTAAAATTCGAAATTGTCATTTCCAAAACTTCCAAGATGTTTAACAAACTGAAGATCTTGAAAATTTGGAAAAATTGTATATGCCCGACCATTTTAAATATAGTTATTGAAAATTATTAGTTTTGAAAACTGAAAGTTTTGTTACTTTTGAAAATTCTGAATAATTGAAAATTTAAAAAATTTTAAAATTTTCGATTACATACATTAAAAAATTTTGAAAACATCAAAAAATTTAAAATTGAAAATTCTGCTTATATTGGAAGTTGTAAAAAATTTTCGAGAATTAAAAAGCTTCGACATTTTGGTAGTTTTGAAAATTTTAATTCAGGCACTTTTGAAAATTTTTAACCGGATTTTAAAACATAAAAAACGTTTTAATTTTGTATTTTGTTTAAAACAAATTCTAAACAAATTTTGACCCTGTTGCCTAATGATTCATGTTAAGAGGCATCTAACACCGTAATTATAAAAAAATCGAGTTAGAAAGTTTTGCGAATGCGAGATTTTGCCTTGTCTAAAATTAGGTATGCAAAAACGGAACGAGGATTCCATGAAAAGGTTGTAAATGAAGGATATTGGATAATCCAACAAATGTTATTTATTTTACAGATGTTGCAAGGCGTTCGAGACAGGTTTTTATGTGATTTCTGTTGAAATCTCACTTTATAATGACTGTCGACTGTTAGGACTCAAATTCGCACTAAGTGGCTTCAATAGTTCACAAAAGCAGTGACAGAAACGTTTTGTACTATGTTACCATATACAATGCTAGGTTTTCAAAAGAATCATAAACGAATACTTGCAATACCATCCATAACTCGACCTTATCCTTTCCCTGTTTCATACTTTGTAGATACAAAACATTTCTGCCCAAACAAAAACACTCTCACCTTACAGAACATACGACTGATACTTTAGCTTCATAGCCCGGAACTCACCGCCTAACAGTCGATCAGTTTACTCGAAGAGTGTACGATATTGTAAATACAAAAATAACCTTTTAGTCAGATTGTTAATGAAATCATATTAAGTTGAACCATTTTTGTTGAGACGCATCCCCGAGCGCTAGTCGACCGGTTGCGACGTTAAGCCGCGTCTCCGAAGCAACAATTTGCAGGCAACAAGTTGCAGTCGACTACTTCGATCTTTGCCAAGTTTTGTCCGTAAAAATATGTTGCAAAGTGGCGTTTTGGTTGTAATGGAGACGTACGCCTAGACGTGGCAACGCTGTACTGGCCCTCTAGGGAGCGCGGACCCTACTAAGAGTTTTATGTAGATTTAATGAAGCAAGTGCAATATGTACAAATTTTACTAATTTACCTTTTTATATCTACGTTAGATTATATGCGTTAATTTTCTACAGAGAATACTGAGTGGCAGTATTAAAAGCAAGATGGCTGATGTCAGAGTTATACGAGATGACAAGTGACAGTCAGAAAGGATTTGGATTAATCCGTATGTTCGACATAAAGAAAATTCCATAGTTGATCTCTGAAAATCATATTTTTACACGTACGATTATACCTAAAGATCCACGCATTCTTATTAGAAAGCCCAAGGCAAGATATTTTTGATTGACTTGAAACTAAACAATAACATGCGATTTATGGAGGGATGTATGTCGCCTAACCTAAAAAGTCAAACACGTCATATGTGACAGATGTCAAATGTCACCTTGTATGATGTCACATCGGCAACGATGCAACCAATGTGATTGTAAGCGCCTCTTTCGGTCATAAGGTTTGTTTTATATATATTGAATATCTATATATAGCTAATTTACTGTTGTACAGAAGTTTCTAAATATTTTATTTATGGCTATGGCCGCTAGGGGCGCAATCGCAGTACTTTTACATGACCTGTACTGTAAATCGAGTGTGGAAAGCAATGACATGTTCGAT